CTTCTTACTACACACACACACACACACACACACACACACACACACACACACACACACACACACACACACCCCTATATTATGTACATATTTGTCTGAAGATTCCGATACTTAGGCATAACCAGTATTATGTACAGAAACCTCCGGAGTATGGAATTTCATATGGAGCTCCTGTAGCCACTCAATTGTTGGCCCTCATTTTCACAACATGTACAGGATTAGCTCTTAGATGGCCCATTTTTAAGCATTTTACTACTTGCTAGGGCTGCCAAGCGATTAAACAGATTAATCACACGATTAAACAATACTAGAATACCATTTATTTAAATATTTTTGCATATTTTCTACATTTTCAAATATATTGATATATTAATTTTCAGCATTGGAGTCAGATGCCTCCAGCAGAAAGTTGATTTTGTTTTTTGGTGGTTCAGGTTCTGCAGTTTCCGCATTGGAGTGTTGCTCTTTTAAGGCTTCTGAAAGCATGCTTCACACCTCGTCCCTCTCAGATTTTGGAAGGCACTTCAGATTCTTAAACCCTGGGTTGAGTGATGTAGCTATCTTTAGAAATCTCACACTGGTAACTTCTTTGCGTTTTCTCAAATCTGCAGTGACGGTGTTCTTAAAACAAACGTGCTGGGTCATCATCCAAGACTGCTATAACATGAAATATATGGCAGAATGCAGGTAAAACAGACCAGGAGACATACAGTTCTCCCCCAAGGAGTTCAGTTACAAATGTAATTAACGCATTGTTTTTGTAACGAGCATCATTTGCATGGAAGCATGTCCTCTGGAATGGTGGCCAAAGCATGAAGGGACATATGAATGTTTAGCATATCTGACACGTAGATACTTGCAATGCCGGCTTTAAAAGTGCCATGCGAACGCCTGTTCTCACTTTCAAGTGACATTGTAAATATGAAGAGGGCAGCATTATCTCCTGTAAATGTAAACAAACATATTTGTCTTAGCGATTGGCTGAATAAGAAGTAGGACTGAGGAGACTTGTAGGGTCTAAAGTTTGACATGTGTTTTGGAGTGCAGTTATGTAACAATCTGTAAATTGCACTTTCATGACTAAGAGATCACACTACAGTACTTGTATGAGGTGAATTGAAATACTATTTCTTTATCATTTTAGAGTGCAAATATTTGTAATAATAATATAAAGTGAGCACTGTATACTTTGTATTCTGTGTTGTCATTGAAACAATATATTTGAAAATGTAGGAAAAAATCCAAAAATATTTTAAAAATTTCAATTGGTATTCTATTGTTTAACCGTGCAGTTAAAACTGTGATTAACTCAAAATAATTAATTGTGTGAGTTAACTGTGATTAATCAACAGCCCCTCTACTTGCATGTGTATGGAAATTAATTTTCCAAAGAGGGATTTGAAAGGCAGTGTGGACATCCAGACCAGTACACAGGAGATGTTGCCTTGTTTCTGTTCTTAATTATAGCCAGCTTTCTTAATGAGGTAATGTTCTTCTGTTCTGGGTTTATCTTCTAGCAGACAGGGCAGCAGGTGATCCATTGGGGAGGCACACTTGAAAAACATCAGAGGCAAGCTGTTTAATGTTAACACTGTCATTCATCACTCAGCCATTTGGATAACTTGACAGATGTAGCACACTCCCTTGGGATCCCACTGGCCTCTGGCATGCTGCTTAGTGAAATGTATCCATCGGCATCACAGAGGCAGCTGAGACTTGGCAGTGTGGAGGAAGTGGGTAGAATCCTGTAAATCTTCAGGAACTATTCAATAAAATGCTTGTGGCATCATAAGGCAAAAGCAGATTCTCATAATGAAGGGTTTCCAGCAGAAGTCATGGTACTGTTTTTTATCCACAATTTGCATATGGTGTTTCAGATTTCATGCAATGGGTTTAAGGTGACTTTTTGAATTTGCCCATATGGCTTCTGGCTGTTAATTGTGTGTGCGAATATATACACAGCCGCCTTTACGCTGCACACAGCAAGTCTGGATTTGGGCACTTAACCCTTCACTAACCTTGCATTTTGTCTCTTCCCTTCATATTCTGTCTGCTAGGTAGCTCCTAATCATGCACTCTGATCAGTGTGTGCTGGTGGTGGGTTGTCATCACTCTGCTCATTAGCAGGCCATGCTGGATTCAAATGTCATTAACGTTGGATGGGGAATAAATTGATGGTCTCAATCCATTTCCTAGTAAGCAGGGGTCTACATCACAAAATGGGCACCTCTGAGGATCTTCTGGTGAGGAAATATAGGGACACTTCAACTGCTTCTGCCTGGCCCTGTCTGTTCTGTGCATAAATACAACTTAAGTCGCAAGTGCTGTCAATCTCGTTCCATCTACTCGACTGAGCTTGGCCGGGGGTGCTAAACAAATCGCAAGATCAGCTTCTTTAAATTCACTTGGGGGACGGGGGGGAGAGAATCTCTCTTCAGTGACACAAAGGAAGATTGGGGGGAGGGATAGCTCAGTGGTTTGAGCATTGGCCTGCTAAACCCAGGGTTGTGAGTTCAATCCTTGAGGGGGCCATTTAGGGAACTGGAGTAAAAATCTGTCTGGGGATTGGTCCTGCTTTGAGCAGGGGGTTGGACTAGATGACCTCCTGAGGTCCCTTCCAATCCTGATATTCTATGATTCTAGGATTATCCCTCTCCCAAGAAAGCATAGGCTGCTCCAAGAGCAGCATACATAGAGGGACACACAGAGTCCTAGTGTTACTATCCACAATGTCCCATTAGCCAGGTCTCGCTTTGGATGAGTGCTCCGAAAACTGCCACTTTATTAGACTACTGGAAGGAATCCTAATCATATGCAATGTTGGTGATGAAAGCAGGCAGTGTATTTCTGCTACGTTGGTATTATTTATGTCTCCAAAAGCCTGTCCCTAGCCACTGATGGGGAGAAAAGAACTGGGCCAAAGCGCTAACCACCAGGCTGTAAAGGAGCTGCTGGTAACGTGCCATGTGGCCACTGCAAGGAATCTGCCCAGCCAGGTCTGGGAAGGGAGCAAAGCCTGCGTTAGTACACTGACCTGTGTACCTAGCCTGAGAGAGGGGACTGAGTTACTCTGGGCTAAGCCTTCCTTGCAGACGCTGAGTTGTACTCTGCAGTAATATTGCTCAAGATTCAAGCAGGAGTCTGGTAATCACCCAAACGGTGGGAGGACAAACTGCACATTCTGTAAATAACCTTCCAGCAGGTTGGTTCATTCTCTGCCATCCCTGGGCACAAGTAAGTCAGTGGGAGGAATGTGGCCTGCATCCAGGGGAGAGCAAACTCCTCATGTGCCAAATTATGCACCGGTATCCTGAGCATCGCTCAGCTCCATGTGGTATCGTGTTGGCTTCACCTATTCAAATGCAGATGGGGCTTGCGGTGTTCTTGCTGCCTGCCTGCATGCAAATGTAAAATACATACCGCTCTAGCCGTTTTGGAGAGGTCTCTTGATGACATTTTCAGCAGCAGAAACGTAGCATGTACAGTGGGCTTAAATTCTATTCCAGATGAGTCTCTTTTTGTGACCGCACCACAGTGGTTTAACTTGCGTTTAATTTACATAATGTCTTCCAATTATCTAGTCACCTGCTAAAATGATTACCATTAGGGTGACCAGACAGCAAGTGTGAAAAATCGGGATGGGGATGAGGGGTAATATTCAGACTGCTGTATAGATGGGTAAACAGTTTCTCCATTCAGAACATCTCTATCCACCATCTAGCTTATTTGCCAACCATTTTTTCCCCTACTAGTTGATCAGCTCTTATGGCAACCAGGAAGAAGTCCTAGTAGTCAGGCATGGATGTGTTACACTGAAGGACTCCTTCTAGTATGTATAAATGCAAGAGCTGGCCTCTACACAACCCAAGATCTATCTTACAAAATGTTATGGGGAAGGGGAGTAATGTTCATAAAATTATGGGATTTACACCACAAACTAAGGATGTAAGAAGGATGGTCTAGGGATAGGCCAATGACCTGGGATTTAGGATTTGGACCCTGATCTCCCGGATCAGCCACATACTTTCTGTGTGATCTTGGGCATGCCCTTTAATCTACCCCCATGCCTTCATTTTCCCTATTATTCCCTACTTCATAGATTGTTGAGAATATTATCCATTGATGATTGAGGTTTTCATACTATAGTGATGAGGCCATGTAAGTATCTAGACAGGAGGATGGAAAAGAATACAGCTTGTACATGTAACCATGTATCCTGATCCCACTGAAACTTTGAGTTTCTAAAATTACGTTTTTCACTAATAATTCAAACAAATCCTCTTAGATTTGAGTCCCTTTCCTTCCCAAAATAGATATATCTGAAATATAAAATTTCACAGGTTTGTAAGCAAATATGGACCAATTTGGTTATAGTGGGAGGACAAAACCTTCAACTTTTGTTTCATGTTACCTAACTTTGAGACTTACATTTCCCATTTCCCATTGCATGAAGAGGATGTACAGTATCAAAATGCCAAAAATATCTTAGTGTTTCATACGTTATTCCACTCTTCTAAATCTATTAAATATTTCACTTGTGGACTCTGTCCAGTTTTTGGTACACCAGTGTTCTTCATGTAAATCACTGACACAAGTGGCATTAAGGGACATACTTTCAGAGGGCCTCCATTTTTGGATATGCAAATATGGCTTTCCATGTGCAAATACGATTAAGTGCATAGCTACTAATCGGTACTCAAAATCCTGCATTTTCAGTTGTAAGTGTGGG